TGACCGCTACATATGGAGATGATAACAACTAATAACGGCCATTTAATGGACTGATAACCTTACGAAGCCGCTCAACCTTAAGTGGCTCATGGGCCACCACTTGATAATCAGTTGTAGCAGGTTGTTGCAGCTCTGAACACGTTTAATTTGGTGAAAGAAGGCGCAAAAATAGCTGTTTTGATAGTAAAGGTTGCAGACCCCTGCTCTAGACTTTTGCGATTCTTGTGTTTGTTTTACTTGCTTGTTTCCTGCCTTCCCCAGAGTTTCTACCCCTCATGTTCTTCACCTGTTCCCAATCCCAAGCAGGTGTTCATCATTGTGTCTCGTTAGTGTCTCTTTAAGTTAAGCATCTCTGTGTTTCCACCTTGTCCGTGGATTGTGTTTCTACACAGCCATTTGTGTTCAGCTCCTCCGTGTTTTCCTGTGCTCTGGATTTTTTTTTTTTTTTCCTTTAAGTGTTTAGTTGCCAAGTCAGCCTTTGTTTTTGTTTAATTAATTGGATCCTTTATTTTACCTTCAAGTTTTCCTGAACTCTGTCTGCACTTGGGTTCAACGCTTCGCCGAACATCATATTTGTAAGACAGCTGCAAACCTCTAAATGGTTTACAGGGATTTTAATGTACGTGCACTAAATAGTGCAAAATTGTGAAGTGGAAATATAATGATACCCAGTGGCTTTTAAACCCCAAAATACATTACGGCAAAGACTGGTCCATCCTGAAGATCCAATCCCCCTGGCACAAACAGAGTAATATTGTGTATACTGTTCAATGTCAGGAGGGCTGTGATCAGTCTTACATCGGGGAAACTAAACAGCCACTGGCCAAAAGGATGGACCAGCACAGAAGATCAACATCATCAGGCCAGGACTCTGTGGTCTACACTCATCTGCAGGCCAGCGGTCACACTTTCAGGGATGAAGATGTTCACATCCTTGATAGAAAGGAACATTGGTGTGAGAGAGGAGTGATAAAAGCCATCTTTGTGATGAGAATCCATCCATCATTAAACAGGGGTGGAGGCCTCCATGTCTACTTGTCGCCTTCTTACAATGCTGTTATTGCTAGTATCACTCAGCCCCCTGTGAATTGCAAGTGGTCATCAGGGCACTAATGTTAAGCTGATGGTCCTCCTTTATCATGTGAACAGCTAGTTTGGGCTGTCAACAGCAAACTGGTTGATCCGCTACGAGAAGGTGCTATTTATAAGACTGAGTTTAGTGCAGCTCCTCAGACTGAAGATGTATTTTGGAAAAAAGACAAAACATTTCAAGTGTTTTAAATTTTTTGAATCCATCCAGAGGACCTGAATTAACTTTGTTAGATTTTTCTACTTGGATTTTTGAGCATGATTCAGAACAGACTGATACATGTTTTGTTTGTTTTTTTAATAGAAAAATTTGGCATGTATTTTTATTGCATTGCACATATTTATCAACTCTGACCATCTTCCCTGTCCCTGCTGAGGAAAAGCATCCTCACTGCATGATGCTGCCACCACCATGTTTCACACTGGGGATAGTGTGTTCAGGGGGGTGTGCAGTAACACACATACTTTGAATTTAGGTAAAATAAAAAGTTACATTTTTGTTTGATCTGAGCAGAGCACCTTCTTCCACAGGTCTGTTGTTTCTTACATGGCTTGTGGCAAACCGTCAACACAACCTCATGGCTTTCTTCCAATAACTTTCTTTTTGTCACTCTTCCATAAATGCCAGATTCGATGAGTGCACTAATTATTCTGTTGACAAATTCTCCAATCTAAACTCTTTCCACTAGTACCACTGATGTCTTAGTAGTTTCTATGAATAATGCTCTGCTCGTCCAGCCTGTCCGTTTAGGTGGAGAGTCGTGTCTTGGTAAGTTTTGAGTCGTGACATACATTTTCTATATTCAGATGATGGATCAAACGGTGATCAATGACATATTTAAAGCTTAGGATGTATCGTTTTAAAATCCATCCCTACTTTAAACATCTCAACAGCTTTCTCTTTGACCCGTCTTTTGTGTTCCCTGGTCTTGATGCTATTTGACATCTTGCTAAATACCTTTCAAATACATAGGTAATTTCAACAGTAATGTCTTTCTTGTCAGGCTTTTTTGACAAAGGTATAGGAAATGACAGTGAAATTACGTAATTGTGTTCAAATCAAGTATAATTTTTACAATAATGACCTCCCTATTCCTAACCACTCTCACGCTCAAGACTTTTCATTCAGCCAATAGAGATGTACAAAATCTTTGAAATTACAATAATTATCAAGTCTCCTTTTTCCGTCTCCACTGTATGTGCACATTAGCAGTAAATATGAGCTAACACCTTTTCAACACTCGTTTTTTTTACTGTGATTTCAAATGCTTTACTGTTGATCAAACACATCAGCGGCCACATGATCGGGACTTGCTTACCAGCCTGTGGAGCAAATCTGGGACAATTAATGCTAACAACAGCCACTAATGCAGTACTGATTGTCCAGCAGCCATGAAAGTCGTCAAAATGAAATTTGTTTTGTTGCAAACAGCATCAACAAAGTCAAATTAAGATTTAACATTTAATTGAATCAGGCTTTGAGGTGAAACTGACAAAAATGGAGCCAGAATGTGTTGAAAAACCTAAAAAAAAAAAAAAGATTATGAACCTATGCATTTATCTGACAAGACGTGAAGCGTTCATCAGGCTTTTAAGTGCATGTTTACTGTTTTATAAGTTAAATCAGTGTGGTTGTAATGGACTTGTGTTCGCAGCAACTTTTTTTTTTAATATAAATCAAGGCTTTTAATAAATCTCTTTGATTGTTCATTAAATGTGAAATCTAGATCAGGCCAGGACACAAGTTTTAATTTAAACAGACAGAATAAACCACCTAAACACAAAGGTACTAATAAAGAATTATTTCCCAAAATCACAAATTAAATCAGAGCATATAGATGTAGAGAATGGGTTGTTTTTAACTCACATGTGGATCACTCTTAATTAGTTCCTTGAGACTGGGAATCCGTCGACTGCTGCCAAACTCCACCCTGGACGTAATGGACTTGACCACCATTTTGATGTGTGCATAGTCCTTCACTGAGGAAAGATTGAAGGCGAAAGCACCTGAGCTCACTAGGCTGTTAAAGTGGTAAGGGGATGGGGTGAGGATGAGGCCTTTTTTGTCCCCCGTCAAAATGTACGATGCCATGATGAAAAACGTGACAGCTAGGCCAAACAGGAAGCCATAGAGACGGATCTTGCAGCCTACGTGATTCCAACGCTTTGGAAGTTCCCGTTTCACCTCCAGAACTGCAAATACATTCATAGGTGCAGTGTCCACCTGCAGGAGCAATGGCCTCTTGTGGTAGTCATCCACGGTGGAGCCCAGCAGGCTGTACTTGTAGTCCATCTGCGTCATCATGTCCGCAACGCCTATAGCCGAGGCGACACCGCTCAGACACAACGAGTCAACATTTTGGCACGGGGAGAAGGCCAGTAGAGAAGGTTGAGATCCATAATGGTTGGTGGAGAACAGTCCACCTCATCCACTGACACCTGCTGCCTAAGAAACAGAAAATTGGCACACTTTAAACATGCATGGTAGAATGCAGGGTTTCTTATGTTGTGGCAAAGAAAATTCTCACAGTGCAGGTTCAGATTAACTGTTTTGGCTTCCTGCTAGACTTCCTGTTGCAATCAGACAACACCCTGCACAACCTCAGTCTATCCACCCAGTGCATCAAAGTCACAATGTGAAGGGAGCGATAAGGAAAGCATTCAGTCTGAGAACTACAAGACCTCATGCTGGACTCTCCCGAGGAGGGATAAAAATATCAGAAACATCTAGGATGACCTGCAGGACGGATTATATTTTCAGAAAATAGTTTTCCTCTCTATGAACTCGCATAGAAGAACAGTCACCCGCTGATAAAGGATGAAAGAATCAGGGATTCTGATGATAATGCTCAGGCAGTAGCAAACACCCATTTTATCCTTGAGCCCTTCTTTGTGTCTAAAGTTGAGCTAACGCAACTGGATGTGAATATAATACAGCAATATGACAAAAATCCTACAGAGCCAAGGTCTAGGACGCTTTTCAAAAAGACTGAAATTCCACGTCATATTTCACATCTTCACATTCACAGCTGCATGGATCCAGCCACTAATGCTGATGTACGACACACCTGCAGCCTGCTTCCACTTACATATATAACACGATACGAGCAGCATGGAAGTGAGTCATTACTCTTCCTCTTCACAGCTGCATATATTGTCTGCTGCTCCCCACCACTAGCACCTACTCACAACTTTAGCACATCTGTAGTGCTTACGGCAGAGTTGATAAGAACAGATGTGGAGCGGTCTTGCCTTTTTTACTCAAACAGTGTCATTTACCCCCAG